AAATTAACCTATGAAGATGGTGTCCAAAACTTTTATTAAATTTAGTGTTTTTTGTCATTTTAAAATATTTTGTCCACCTAGATATCTATTTTTAAAATTAAAAAAATGTTACCTATGAGGATGGTGTCCAAAATGTTCATTACATTTTGTATATTTAGTTATTTTTAAGCAATTCGTTTATTTACAGCTAATTTTATTCCACTAAAAAAATTAACCTATAAAGATGGTGTCCAAGATTTTCATTACATTTAATGTAATTTATGATTTTTAAGCATGTCGTCAACCTAGAACTCGTTTTATACATCTAAAAAATTATTTTCAATAAAGGTAGTACATAAAATTATTTTAAAGCAATAACCTATGAAGATGGTGTCCAAAATTTTTAATAAATTTATGTTCTTATTGATTTTTAAATATTTTGTCCACCTAGAGCTTATTTTATACCATTCAAAAAATTAACCTATGAAGACGGTCTCCAAATATTTTTATTAAATTTAGTGTTTTTATTGATTTTTAAATATTTTGTTCACCTAGAGCTTGTCTTATACTATTAAAAAATTATCCTATGAAGATGGTGTCCAAATTTTTTATTAAATTTAGTGTTTCTAGTGATTTTAAAATATTTTGTCCACCTAGAGCTTGTTTTATGCCACTAAAAAAATTAACCTATGAAGATGGTGTCCAAATTTTTTATGAAATTTTGTGTTTTTAGTGATTTTGAAGTATTTTGTCCACCTAGAGCTCGTTATATAAATAAAAAAAAACTATCTATGAAGATGGTGTCCAAAATGTTCATTATATTTTGTATATTAGTTATTTTAAAACTTTTCGTTCATCTAGAGCTCGTTTTGTTGAACTAAAAAAATTAACCTATAAAGATGGTGTCAAAATTTTTTTATATGTTTTTAGTGATTTTTAACTATTTTATCCACCTAGAGCTTGTTTTATACAATTAAAAAAAAACAATCTATGAAGATGATGTCTAAAATTTTTATTAAATTTAGTGTTTTTAGTGAGTTTAAAGTAGTTTGTCCACCTAGAGCACGTTCTATAAAATTTAAAAAAAGTTATCTATGAGGATGGTGTCTAAAATTTTCATTACATTTTGTATATTTAGTTATTTTTAAGCAATTCGTTCATTTACAGCTCGTTTTATTCCACTAAAAAAATTAACCTATGAAGATGGTGTCCAAGATTTTCAATACATTAAACATATTTTATGATTTTTCAGCATGTACTCAACCTAGAACTCGTTTTATACCTCTAAAAAAATTATTTTAAATAAAGTTAGTACATAAAATTATTTTAAAGCATTAACCTATGAAGATGATGCCCAAAATGTTTATTAAATTTAGGGTTCTTAATGATTTTTAAACATTTCGTTCACCTAGAGCTCTTTTTATACCACTAAAAAAACCTTCTCGAAGAGAAGAGTATTCCATTATATATAAGGGACATCCCTTATATCTAGTCTTCTAGGCTAGGCTCAGCTGGTGCAGACGGTCTCGTTTTCTAATTAGTCCTACGCACAAAATGTCTCTGTCGTGGCTTTAAGTGATTTATTTTCGTTTTCAGTGACGTGAGAGTCGCGTTTCTAAAACTCGCGCTTTTCAAAACGGGGTGGAAGATGTAAAAATAGAAATACGGTAAGGGATAAAGGGATGAATTTTCAAGATGTCTTTACAGCTTTTGTCGCTTTGTAGCTCATAAAAATTCGTTGTTAACTTTTGTGTTAATATTATTTTAATAAATAATAAACAGATTATTAACCAGAGCAAGGAATTTTTTAATCTTACTTATTTTTAAAAATTGTACTATTTTTTTAATAAGCTTATGTATATTAAGATTTAGTTGCTTAATAAGAAAGAGACCATTATGTCAGTTGTCAATTACATAAAGTACTGTTCTGTGTAAAATGTCACTTGCCATGTCAATGTGCTAAGAAGATGGTTATTTGTAATAAGGTTGATGTTGATAACCCTTAAACTTCAAAATAAATAATTACCCGACGATCAGATCCCAACTTGAATAATGAATATGTTAAAAAGATATCCAAGTTCATCTAAGTGGTTTAATTATAAAACTATTTTAACAATCTTGATGATGTATACATGACTGAAACTAGTAGCCTTTAAATATCTAAAATATATTTTTTTTCATTTGCTATTTAAAATGTTTCAAAATAACCCCGATGCGAGTAAAATAAATTGCTTTTTGCGAAAAAAATAAATAACTTCCCATAAGACGATCGGGAAACAATAAAATTAACGACTCATGACACACTAGATGGCAAAGAACTCATCTATCGCCCCGGGACGTATGGAAGATTTATAATGTAGGGGTTGGATTTATAGGTTGTCACCTTAACACTATACGACGAATACGAGATTTTATTTATCTCAATAGAATGTAGAAAATTAATACATATATATCGTTGTCTGTATAAAGGTATTTTTAATGATTTACCTTTAATATGTTAAGAAAAGAAAATGGGATTTTTCATTTTAAATTTGAAGTGATTTATACGATTAATTCTGCTTATATTTGCTACAGTGACAAAGTTTTATCAAAATTATCATCAATAACTCTTATGCAAACAACAGATTTCATCCAAATATCCGTTTTGGTGGAGGTTTAGGATGAATTGTAAACTTTGTCTAACACCGACTTCTTTGGTGATTTGTGCTCTTCCAGACCCAATCGCCAGCTCAGTTGGTTGAACGTCTGCTTCTTTAGCTTCAGAATCTGACATCTTTACATGATTTAAAATTAATTCTAACTGGTTTCAAGTAGAGGCTTCAATCATCATTAGAAGTACAGGTATTGGAAGATTAGTTCTTTGAAATAGACAAAATATTAGAGTCACCTGCACATTTATAGTCAACTGGCCAGAGAAGTTAACAAAGCTTCAATGTTTTACCATCTTCGAGATTACAGTAGTAGCTGGACCTCTCTACAGAACATTGGAATCAAAAAATTAAACCAGGATATTTAATGGGACATTCAAAAGATAATTAACTGAGTCTAATTTGTACCACGAACTCTACCAAATTGAACTTTGGCTGTGACTTTGAAGTGATTATTAACAACCGAACCTAGAAGTTGTAGTAGGACAAAGAGAAAGTCTGAAAGTATATCTGCTAAGGGTCAATCTAGGTTATAATGCCTTAACAGATGCTCACCTAAGATCTCGATCCAGAATTTGAATAAAAATAGGAGGTAAAAGTGATAGAACACTTCATAGTAACCTAGATGGATACATTCTTACCCACAAGAAGCAATTCTAGTCAAAAGTGAGTGAGTAGAGAGAGAAAAATCTGGAATGATATGAAATAAGATATAGAAAAGAATACTAAAAAGACCAAAAAACCCATATTGATAGAGATATGCTATCTGTTTAGAAGCAAACGGAATAATAAAATCACTGCACTGCCTGTGCCCCTAATATAATTCTTCACAATTTTTTTTGTTATGGCTACTTTTAACAAACCCAAATAGCACACCAAACCTCTTGGATATCTAGTGGACATTTCAATATCCACTGAATGTCCAGTTCATGGTGGATATCTATTTTATATCCATGAGATGTAATTTATAGACAAGTAAATGTCATTATTCCAAAAAAATTATTAAAGCAATAAATACGACACCCTATATATCATTTCGATATCCATAATATATTAAGTAATGAATGTACACTGGATATATCCAGTGGAGATAAAGATATCCATTAGATATTTTGCTGGATATCCATAAAATAGCTTCTATATCCTGGATATAGACGGTCATTTGGATGTCTATATTAGATTCACTGGAGATCTATGATATCCTGTGGATATACTATATATCCAAATATCCATCTAAAAAACATATAGGATATATCTAGTGGAAATAAAAATATCCATAGAATATCTTCTATATCCTGGAAATGGACGGAAATTTGGATTTCCATATTAGATTCACTGAATATCTATGATATTGCTTATCCACAAAAGATATTCTCTGGATTTGGTGTGTTGCTTGGGAAAAAGTTGAAAGAATATCAATCTAAATATGTAAGGGATTTGAAGTAGAACAAAAGCTATTGGGCAGGTATTTCGGGAAACCACATAGTTTTGTTTTTTAAACTGGTGAGATGTATCTGGAGATGTTACAAAATGCAATTGAGCCATTTCTTCAAATTCTGGATATCAATCTAGATGTCTAGATAAATTAGGTAACCTGGAAAAAATGTTCTAATAAGATTATATTCCTGAACAATTTTATGACGCAGTAAGGGAATATCGTGGTAGATGGATTGGACGACAAGGTCTAATGTCTAGATTTTTTCCTTGAGGGTTTCTTAAACATTAAATTTAAGCTACAGTACCTGTCAATAGTGACGTTTTAAAACAACGAGTTGTTGGAGAATGTAGAGAAATTTTCACTGACATATTTGAACAAATATGACAAGAGTTTAGCAATAGAATTATGTTACTATCAGGAAGATGATGAAGCACATTTTAAACAGTTAACTGGTACCTGAATCTTTATTAGCAAACCGATAATTTTATTAAAACATCTTTAACAGACCATAATAATTAATGTCTTTATTTTTAAATTAATATTCAGCATACCTTTATCCAAATTTTAGTTCGGTCCTCAATTTAGTTAGACCTTGTTTGGTTCATTAAACGACAAGGGATTTATTTTTCTTCAATTTAGATATGACTATTTCAACTTATACTGTATAAAACCTTTCAAACGAGGTGTCACTTACTGTAAGGTTTAATTTAAAGTTTTTGGTAACAGTAACCCTGTTAGGTAATCTGGGATTATTACAGCACCTCTTACCAGTAATAGATAAGCTTGTAACCATTTTTTTCACCCTCCAAATTTCATTGGTACAAGCATAAGGGTGGGGATTTCTGAGTAGTACTCTATAGATAACTTTTCGTGTAAAATATATGAGTAATATTTTAGTTTATTAGTATCAGTAGCATGAGTAGTAGGTAAAGAAAATGATAAAAATTTGCGTATTTGTGACAGCAGTTGTCTGTGTTTCATTACCACGTAAGTTTTTAGATTCAATTTGTTATTTTTTAATAATTCATTTTTGAGCCATTAACTAAACTAGATCTGATCAAAAATGGCGTAAAATAGTAAAACATGAACCTATTGATCATACAAAAACGTTAGTATTAGTTAAACTTAAAACTGTTACCTAATACCTTATAGGAATAATAGAAAAAGTATTGGAATTCATTTAAAAATAAAAATAATAAATAAAAGAAAGTCTAGAACACTTGAAAATGTTTATAAATACCTATCTAAATGATTTTAAACTAATTATCTACATAATTGACTATTAATTAATTTTTAAAATTAAATTTTTAACACCATTGAAATACTTTTTTTTGTCAATATCTCTGATTTAAAAAGTCATGACCATTTTAGAAATTTAATGTGATTTTGCAACTGATCTAATTCGACCTATCAGCAATTTTATTCTAAGCTTAATACCCAAAAATCACCCATTTTAGCGTCTCTCATTTAACAACTTTTCTTTTTTAAACCAAAACAATCAAAAATAAAAAATTTTCAATTAAATACGATTATCAGCATCATGTTATCATGTCTTAAAAATTTCCACGACTCTGCTTTTTTGCAGCTTCCATACTTTCAGCACCATGCATCTTGGGTTCACTATTTGCCCACGAATCAGATTGTACCAAATTTTACCAATGTACAAACTGGGGCCCGCAAGAAATGCCTTGTGGTCGTGGAACCGTTTTCAATCCTAAGGTTGGAGTATGCGATATGCCACAACCCGGGCTTTGCGACAAACCAAAACCTCAAAAACAAGAACCAGAAGAAAAACCCCTGGAAGAACCAGCAGAAAATCAAAATACGGAAGATCCCACTAAGGAAGATCCCACTAAGGAAGATCCCACTAAGGAAGATCCCACTAAGGTAGATCCCACTAAGGAAGATCCCACTAAGGAAGAACCCACTAAGGAAGATGCCACTAAGGAAGATCCCACTAAGGAAGATCCCACTAAGGAAGATGCCACTAAGGGAGATCCCACTAAGGAAGATCCCACTAAGGAAGATCCCACTAAGGAAGATCCCACTAAAAAAGATCCCACTAAAAAAGATCCCACTAAGGAAGATCCCACTAAGAAAGATCCCACTAAGGAAGATCCCACTAAGGAAGATCCCACTACTGAAGAACCCACGACAGAAGAACCCATTACGGAAGAATCCGTAACGAAAAAAGAACCCAAAGGATCAACAGAATCAGAACCAAAACAACCCGATGAAGCAAAGGTACCAAGTGTTAACAATAACAATATTCTAGAAATAGAGATACTAAAAGATTCACAAGAAAATAATAAGGAAGTAGAGGAACCAAATGCTAGCAATGAAAATAATCTGGAAGCAGAGGACACACAAGATTCCCAAAAAAACGATTGGAAAGTGGAGGAACCAAATGATAACAATGAAAATAATCAGAAAACAAAGAAGCCAGAAGATTCACAGGAAAATTATTGGGAAGTAAAAGAACCAAATGGAAACGATGAAAATAATCAGGAAACAGGGGATCCACAAGATTCAAAAGAAAATTATGATGAAAATAATCAGAAAGCAGATGAACCAATAGAACCACAACCAGAAGATTCACAAGAGAATAATAAGAAAGTAGAGGAAACAAATTATGACGATGAACATTATCAAGAAACAGAGAACCCAAGTGATTACGATGAAAATAATCAGAAAGCAGAGGAAACGTTGGATACACAAGAAAATAATCAGGAAGCAGAAGAACCACAAGATTTACAGGAAAATAATGAGGAAGCAGAGAAAGAAGAGGAACCAAATGATAATTATAAAGAGGATGCAGAAGAATCAGAAAACTCACAAGAAAATAATAAGGAAGATGAGGAACCAAATTATATCGATGAAAATAATGAAGAAGTAGAGGAAACAAATTATATAAATAACGCTAAAAATTATCAAGAAGAGGGACCAAGTGATTACGAAAAAAATAATCAGGAAACGGAAGAACCACTAGATATACAGGAAAATAATAACGTCGCAGTGGAATCAAATGATAATTATGAAAGTAACGAAGCAGAGGAATCTAATGATATTTATGAAAATAATGAAGAAGTTTGGGAACCAAATTATTTACAAGAAGATTATAAAGAAGCAGAGGAACCAATTGATAACTATGAAAATAATCAGGAATCAGAAGAATCACCAGCTTCAGAAGAAAATTATCAGGAAGCAGAAAATCCACAATATATACAGGAATATAATAAGGACGCAGAGGAACCAAATGATAACTATGAAAGTAATGAGGAAGCAGAAGAACCAAATGATAATTATAAAAATAATGAAGAAGTAGAGGAACCAAATTATTCACAAGAAAATTATGAAGACGTAGAGGAACCAACTGATAACGGTGAAAATATTCAAGAAGTAGAAGAATCACTAGATTCAGAAGAAAATTATCAGGAAGCAGAAGAACCCCAATATATACAGGAATATAATAAGGACGAAGAAGAACCAAATGATAACTATGAAAGTAATGATGAACCAGAGGAACCAAATGATAATTATGAAAATAATGAAGAAGTAGGGGAACCAAATTATTCACAAGAAAATTATGAAGAAGTAGAGGAACCAATTGATAATTATAAAAATAACGAAGAAGTAGAAGAACCAAATTATACGCAAGAAAATTATCAGGAAGCAGAAGAAGCACAATATATACAGGAATATAATAACGACGTAGTAGAGGAACCAAATGATAACTATGAGAGTAATGAGGACGCAGAGGAACCAATTGATAATTATAAATATAATGAAGAAGTAGAGGAACCAAATTATTCACAAGAAAATTATAAGGAAGCAGAAGAAACACAATATATACAGGAATATAATAACGACGCAGTAGAGGAACCAAATGATAACCATGAGAGTAATGAGGATGCAGAGGAACAAATTAATAATTATAAATATAATGAAGAAGTAGAGGAACCAAATTATTCACAAGAAAATTATAAGGAAGCAGAAGAAGCACAATATATACAGGAATATAATAACGAAGCAGTAGAGGAACTAAATGGTAACTATGAAAGTAATGAGGAAGCCGAGAAAGTAAATTATAATTATGAGAATAATGAAGAAATAGAGGAACCAAATTATTCACAAGAAAATTATCAGGAAGCAGAAGAAGCACAATATATACAGGAATATAATAACGACGCAGTAGAGGAACCAAATGATAACTATGAAAGTAATAAAGAATCAGAGGAATCAATTGACAACTATAATAATAATGAAGAAGTAGACGAACCAAATTATTCACAAGGAAATTATCAGGAAGCAGAAGAAGCACAATATATACAGGAATATAATAACGACGCAGTAGATGAACCAAATGATAACTATGAAAGTAATGAGAAAGCAGAGGAACCAGTTGATAATTATAAAAATAATGAAGAAGTAGAGGAACCAAATTATTCACAAAAAAATTATCAGGAAGCAGAAGAAGCACAATATATACAGGAATATGATAACGACGCAGTAGAGGAACCAAATGATAACTATGATAATAATGAGGAAGCAGAGGAATCAATTGATAATTATAATAATAATGAAGAAGTAGAGGAACCAAATTATTCACAAGAAAATTATCAGGAAGAAGAAGAAGCACAATATATACAGGAATATAATAACGACGCAGTAGAGGAAGCAAATAATAAAAATGAAAGTATTGAGGAAGCAGAGGAACGATTTAATAATTATAAAAATAATAAAGAAGTAGAGGAACCAAATTATCCGCAAGAAAATTATCAGGAAGCAGAAGAAGCACAATATATACAGAAATATAATAACGACGCAGTAGATGAACCAAATAATAACTATGAAAATAATGAAGAAGTAGAGAAACCAAATTTTTCACAAGAAAATTATCAGGAAGCAGAGGAACCAAGTGATTACGATGAATATAATCAGAATGCAGAAGAATCACTAGATTCAGAAGAATATTATCAGGAAGCAGATGATCCACAATATATACAGGAATATAATAAGGACGAAGAAGAACCAAATGATTACTATAGAAGTAATGAGGAAGCAGAGGAATCAAATGATTATTATGAAAATAATGAAAAAATAGAAGGACCAAAAGATTCACAAGAAAATTATGAGGAAGCAGAGGAACCAAATTATTACGATGAAAATTATCAAGAAGCATCGGAATGGCAAGATGTTGAGGAAACAGGGGAACCAGGAGATAACGATGAAACTAATCAGGAAGCAAGAGAATTACAAGAATTACGAGAAAATAATGAAGAACCAAGTAATAACGATGAAAATAATATGGAAGTTTATGAACCACGAGAATTACCAGAAAATAATGAAGAAGTAGGGGAACCAAGTGATTATGATGAAAATAATCAGGGAGCAGAGGAATTTGAAGAATTACAAGAAAATAATGAGGTAACAGAACCAAAAGATTCACAAAAAGAAGAGGAACTAAGTAACAAGGATGGAAACAACACCGAACCAAAGGTATAGTTTAAGATATGTTATGTATTATTGAATTGGAACTAAAATTTTAAAATAATTTTTTTATGGTTTAAGAAATGAAGCTACAAAACTAACAAATGCGTTTTGTCAATAATACAAAACTGTAACATTTTGTTTATTTTTATTTCAGGAAGAAAATATGGACAGTATATGTTCAGCTTATTCTACAGGAATGGCCTACGTGGAACATCCAACCAGCTGTCACCAATTTATACTTTGCAATAAAGGAGTTGCTAATCTGATGGAGTGTCCTGTTGATCAGAATTACAGTCCTAGGACTAGAAGATGTTCTACTACCAACCCTTGTAATAAAAATTGATCTTGTTAATTCTTAAAGATCTTGTAATTATTTATTAAATAAACAACATAATTCATATAGTAAAACATTAGTTTTTTTTTAAGTATAGGCGATCCTATTTGTGAAAATGAAATATTTCGATAAAAATCCTGATGGTTTGTATTGCTGAGAGACTACAAATATTGAAATAGTGTTTAAGAAATCTATATAGTATAGACAGCTCATGAAAGTATTATTATACATATTAGTAGAAAAGCACTCTCGACATAGCATCTAGCTATGGGGCTGTGCCAGCAAAAGGAAATTCAAAAATATTCAACAATTATACAAAGGATTATCGCGAACATACTACCTCAACTCTGATCTTCACTAGGACCTAGATATGTCAAAAAAATTATTACCAAGTTCGCCAGAAGTCAAACAAAAACTTCTTCAATATATACGAATCCAGCTTCTGGACAACACAAATCGAGTGAGAAAACTCAAGAGGACCAAACCGTTTGAGTTCATCTAATAGTGAAAAAGAAGAACATAGTGCGAAAAGTGTACTCGCTATATTAAGGGTAATCAACTTATTAGCTCTTAAATTATTTTCTACCTATTGTTTTATTTTTATTAAATCCTAATTTTTATTTAAGTGGAAATTACCAATTAATTTAATAGTATTGTCATGTATTGACAATTAAAAAATACCAATAAGTTTAATAGTACTGCCATCTATTTACAAGTAGAGATTACTAATTAATCTATTAAGAAATTACTTTTGGTAGAAAATAATTTATATCTATTACACTGTTTTTATCCACCCTGTAACGAAATAATATCGAGATAAAATTAATATGAAATTAAAATATTTCAGGATGTCTACAACATTAACGGATTTGTTAGATTGCAATTTCAATAGCAATTAGACTGGTAATTACAGGTTGACCAGGTACCTACCTACCTATAAAATGTCCAAAACCCATCAGATTTAATCCGTTAGTCGAAATGTTTACTTTTGTTGTTATCCTCAGTGTCTTGTTGTGCGTCTCTAATGCCTACCCGGCTGTTTCCTGTAAGTTAATTTTTTTTAATATTTCGCAAGAAATAAATACCTAAGTGAAAATCTATTTTTTACATTTTGTTTTCATTAAAAATGAAATGTTATAACATCTAAATATGTCTACGTAAGTTGTTTACATACGGAAAACTTTTTTATTATTAGTTTTATCAAAAAATGTATTGCTTATAAAAAGTTTTGCATAGTTTAAAACCCAAAATTCAACCATCATAAATTAAATATTTTAAGCCGTATACGAGGTGTGTCAAGAAGTAAGCAAGAGTAAAAGTATATAGGTACTTTTATTGTTTGACAAACCTCATGTAAATTTAAAAACAGTTATGTTATTCAGCTCTGTGAAGCTTTTCCCCCGAAATTTGAAAATTTTAGTTTTGGAAGCGGCATGCATTTGACTATGTTTGACCACCCACTAACTTTTTTTAACCATCCTCAGTAACCTAAATATTTAAAAAAATAATAAAGGCCTAGTGCCCGCTGGCCCCCCGAAGATAATATTTTTTCAAATTGACTGCACCACAGGATGAATCACATTTTTTGACCATATTTGACCAACCATTAGATTTTGTTTTAACAGCCCTTAAAATAATTTAAAGGGGTAAATTATAGAAATCCTAGAGTTTTAGTACGAATTTCAACTTTGAAAGAATGATCAAAGGTCAGAAAGGACAAAATAAGATCCAAAAATGTTTAAAATTATGTATCGCCGTTTAATCACCCCTTAAAATATCTCAGAAGACCCCACAGGGGTTAAAAATTCAAAGAAAGCATTTCCCAATCTAATTTCTAGTTGAACAAAATGGTCAAACGACATAAGTGCGTAATAAACATCCATAAAATTTAAGAATTATGTTTTGACGTTTGACCACCCCATAAATTAATTTTAGTGTGTCCAAATAGTGTGAAAGTTCGAAAAAATAAAAATTAAAAATTAAAATTAAATTTGGAATAAAGGGAGGTATAGATGATCAAAATGAAAACACATGTTTTATGTATTTTGTTATGTGTTTTTAGTCTGTAAAAAAATATTTTAAGATGACTTTATTGCCAAAATATTACTATTAAAATTATTTAATAACCTTTGTAAATTTCGTATATAGTATGTCCCCTAAGTTAGAATCATGTGAAAAACTTTTTTATTAATAATTTTAGGAAAAAAAGTTATACTTTATAAAAAGTTCTGCATTATCTAAAACGTAAAAAACAGTCGTGAAATATCAAATTTTTCAGTGGTATACGAGGTTTGCAATAGTAAAGTACCTTTAAATTTGTCAATATCGAAAAATGTTACTAGGAAAAGTTGATCAGAATTAAAAATTGCATTTAAATAATCTATTTACATTAATAAAATTATTTTTGAAACGTATGTCTACAATAATGCAAATTTAACTATAGTTACATGTAATCTAGGATGCACTGACAAACAAATAATTTGTTGCATATTTAAACGTAATTTTTAATTCTGATCTACTTTTTTTAGTAATATTTTTCGATATTGTCAAATTTAAAGGTTCTTTACTTTTGAGTAAGAATCATATTTTTTGACAAACCTCGTATACCACTGAAAAAATTTGATATTTAATGACTGTATTCTAGGTTTTAGATAATGCAGAACTTTTTATGAAGAATAACTTTTTTCTTAAAATTAATAATAAAAAAGTTTTCCATATGATTCCAACTTAGGGGGACATACTTTATTTAGGTACATTGAAATTATTTTAGGGGATTTTCAAACGTCAAAACATAATTCTAAATCGTTATGGATATTTATTGTAAACAGATGTCGTTTTGACCATTTTTTCCAAGTGGAAATTCGATTTCCAAATTTTATTTTTCAAACTTTCACACTATTTGGGCACATTGAAATTATTTTAGGAGGTGGTCAAACGTCAAAACATAGTTCTAAATTGTTTTAATAAAACTAATAATAGTAATAATAAAGTTTTCTATATGTACCCAACTTACGTAGACTTACGTATACAATATAAATGTATGTAGGTAAACGTTAAAAATTGACGGATGAAAGGTTTATAACTGATTTTTTCATAGTGTTCTCATCCAATCTTTTTTTTAGCCCCATCAAGATATATGAACTATGAAAACAACCAATACTATTTTGATCCAAATTTCAAGGTAAGTTTTGAACAACCCACCCATTTCATAATTTAATTTATTAATTTATATTTTCATTATTAAAATTAAATGACTCTCAATTAACACAGTAATGGAATGATGCAAAAATTTTCTAATAGCACCTTAAATTTTATACAAATACAGGGTGATCCATTAGTGTAAAAAAATCCAATATCTCCGCCATTATTAGAGATATAAAAAAATATTCTCACAGAACGGTGGACGGTGTTAAACTACATATATTTTAAAATTATTACCACTAAAATTTAAAAATCTCTAAAAACTACTAACTTTTGGTATAGAGAATGCCTAAGACAAATTAAAGTATAATTGGAATACTTTTGAACGATGATATAAAATACAGGGTGAACCATTTAAAAAAATTGAGAAAATTATGTATTTGTGTTTTGACTCACCCTGTACAGATTTGATGCGAACTGAAAAAAGTAGTGTCTCCAAATAACATTTGACCATGATTAAAAAATTGTGGTAGAAGAAAAATTAGTTATCAATGGTTACTTTTGCATGATATAGCTCATTGAATTCAATACGATTTGCATACAAAACTGATTATATCCTGCAAAATACCCTGTATAAACTAATAATAATTAATGTTTCTAGAATGGGAAAAGCGAGGGCAATTCAAATATAAAATAAAATACAGGGTGATCCATTAAAAAAAACATAAGTTGGTTCCAGAGGGAAGTTATTAAACATCCTGTATATTTAAAAATAATTTTAAAATATGTAATTTAACGCTGTCTACCGTTCTGTGAAAATATTCATATATTACGTGTTATTTCTACCAGCAATTACATTATGTAAACGATAATCACATTTATTCCAGGATAACTATCTTGCAGCGGTAAAATTATGTCAACAGAAACAAATGGAACTGTTAGCAATCGAATCACAAGGAGAATTGGAAGCAGTCACCAAATTCGTTAAGAGCTTAGGTAAGTAAACATTTTTAAAAAAGAACTTTGTTATGTCTAATGCCTCATTCTCAATTTATTCTAAGTATCTTAAAATTATCTATCGATATTTAATAGGACCTGATTATAACACATGTGTCTCAAAAGTTTTGACACAAATAAAAACTTCATGGAAATAATAAAAAATAAAAAAATATGAAGTTAGCTCTGCGAACAAGAGTCATTCAATGATTTGTTATTTTAATGACAGTTCAATTACCGAAATTAGAGCTTAGAAAAAGCGTTTGTTAGACAGATACACAGAAAATACCAAATGAGAATAAAATTCGTAAATTAAATTGAAAATGGTGACAACACCGACTTACTCTTACCTCTAGCTGTTAAAGTACGAATTTTTTAATCGATTTAACTCTAGCAACAACTATTGGCCAAATAGTTTTTTATTTGCGTCAATATTTCTCGGTTTTGCTGCATAGTTAATTCAAATTTTAAGTAAGTAATTGTACAAATTGATAAATAATATCGTTTTAATATTTCAGCTACAGATAACAAAACATGCTTCTGGACATCTGATAGCAAACTCAGCAGTGATAAAGACTTCATCGTGCTGTCTACTGGAGAAAAAGTATCCGTCCTCAACTGGGGTAGTGGAGAGCCAAACACAAACATTAAATATTATGCAGTGTGCAAAAGCAAAGGTGGAATTGTACATTAGAAGGTTGAATAGGTTTAATGAGATGTGAAATTAAATAGACTAATAATAATAAAAGCTTTATTAAAATTTTTATATTTGTTTTGATTCATCTCCTATATCTTTTGTTGAATATTTAAGGTCTCTATGTAGTAGTAGTATTATTTAAGAAAATAATAATAATAATAATACTCTCCCTAATTCACCCCCTTACGAGTGAGTTATTATTATTTGCCGTGGCGCTCCAGGGCGACTTAAAGATTATTAATGGTGCCATTTGACTTACAGGTGAGGAAAACGCGGAAAACCTCACCCACCATCATCGAGACGGTAATGTATGGCGATTTTTATAATATGCATGTCATATCAACAGAAATTTAATTTCTATTAATACGGCACACATCAAATCCTAAACCGAACCATGCAATTTAATTAAAAATCCACATGGTCTAGTCTGGGATTCGAAGCCCAGCAGTCTCAGACTCATAAACTTGCCTATAAATGAATATAAGCGCGTTAGACCGCTACACTACCGACCCGATAGCAGATATGATGGCAGATAGTAACATAGATATATAATTAAAACAGATAGAATTGTTTACAAAATTTCTGAAGACAACACGTATTCACAATCTAAGCGTCCTTGGTAGAAATGCAATATTCTGATTAAACAGTGTAGCCAAGTTTACGAAGTTCGTAAGTAGTTGTCATTCGAAATGTGAAATCTAATTACCGCGCAGTAACGTATGGGGGCTTAAACCAAGTATAATGCACTGGCTTTACACTATGGTTGTAGTACCTGTTATAACTTACTCATCAGTCATATGGTGGCACAGACTAAAAGCATAACAGCTAATGGAAAAAGATTTCAATAGTTCAACGTACTTTTAAAAATAAAAATTTTGATTTGGCAACAACGGTGTAATTTGTGAAAATTAATACCTTTTAATGTACATTAGCTTGGGAGACAACTCGACCTATGATGGGAGACCCATAAAAAAAACTACCTGGTCAAGACGGGACCTTGCCCGATCGTATTTGTATCTACTCGTAGGTCTAAAATTATATAATACCCTCCCAGTCAACATAAAATGTAATACCTTGTCCATATTTAAAAATAATTTATCAAAAATTAAAAAATTGACGTAATAAATAATATTTTTTTAAATAACTTATATTTCTTTGCGTTTTGTATGATCAACGTTTCAATATCTTTTTGATTAAATGTAGGTATTTTGATTCTGTTTTATTTAATTGTATATACCTTTTTTTAATTTATATTTGTTCTCAAAACAAATGCCTTATTAGCACTTATTGAGTAGTATTAATATTTATTTGTTTAAAATTATTTGAATTATTTTGTAACTTATTATTTCTTGAATAAATATTATTAAAATGAATTTCTCGAAACAAAAACTGTCATTTTTATTATCTCAGGCTTTTGCCTTTTTTATGTAAGTATTTTTGTAATATTTTTAAAAAAATTATAAATAAATAAAATAAATATTTATATATAGTCACAGTTTTGGCACTTTTGGCCACTTTTCCTGTCATCTTCAGAGCTTGTGATCGATTGGTTTAATGAAGTTAAAAATATACAAACAAAAATTAATTATACACATCTCTTTATTACATTATTTCGAATTTTAACACTTTCAAATCAATATGAAAAACAATTATTTTAATGATCCGTGCTCATGCAAACAGGGGTTCTGAGTTCATAGCACTCACAATCGTCCCAATATCCCTTTGAAAAGTAGTTCGGAAGAAGTTGAATGCATTGTTGTGCAGCGCCTACTCCACTTGATGATGGTTGACCGGTACCCCAGTTGGTGAAACCTAATTTGTTTCCAGTAGTCATCCAGATCCAATCACCGGCTCCGTTTGATGAACGCCTGCTTCCTGATGTCCACAGTCTGGGACTTTCCTTGCCAACTAAAAATAATAAATTTTATAGATAGGGCTTGAGTTTAAGTGCATTTCTTTGCAACGATATCTAGGCACATTTGACGAATATAAACAAATATGATGACATTAGAAATTCCATTGTGGTAGCAGTTAGAAGATATAGTGAAAAATTTAGTAATGTCGGAAGAAAAATTAGGAAAACCAGTAATATGTAAGTTTATTAAAAGAGTAGAAAATAAAGAATAAATGTTGAATTTAGTTATTAACGATTCAATCATTAGAACTCGAAGATTATGATTGAGAAGAAAAATATACTGCTAACTGTTATATGACCAGTTTTGAAAGAACAACAATCACTATCACTACCGAAGGGTTCAAGAACTTTTACCAAGAGATTATCCTTTGAAGAAAGTTTTTGGCTAAAAGAAGGCTAGATATAAACATTTTCTAGTATAGAAAAATTTGAAAGAAGAAAGAATACATAAAAAACAATAGTACATCTAATTTTATTCACTATAAGTAATAAAAAAAATAAGCGATAAAAAGTTTGAAGAATCCCTATTTGAAGATGTAAATGATTTGAGGTATGGAATCACTAAAGATCATAACACTGAATCTACATATAAAAAAAAGTTACTTACCAAGTTTAATGATTGCATCGTATACAGCTTGATCTTGAGCTGATGAATCAATGACTAAAAGTTTCATGTCGTGTTTTTCACAGAATTCCATAGAACTAATAAAATTACCCTGAAAATAATTGTTTTTATTATCAAAAGTAAAATATCACGTGATTTTGAGTAGAAAGAGGTGAAGAAAGGATGGAATTGGAAAGAATTAGGATGTTAGGTTTGTAGAATGAAGAATTTGATAAGGAACTTCTGGCAAATATAAAGACAGGTAGGTAAGGTAAGCTAACATATAAGCTAAGGTATGCTGAAATAAGCTAAAGTAGATAAAATAAGTTAGGTAACCATAGACTCTGATTATAAATTATGAAAAATACAAACCAAAATAAAAAAATAAAAATGATATACATGGTACTCAATACATTATTTAGTCTTGAGAGTAATAATGTTTTATCTAGTATATGGTGGAATTATATGTGACAGACAATGTTGTAGGTAATGGATATGAGAAAGCGAACAAAATACTTTTGTATAGGATTGGTAATAAATTGTATAGTTTTAAGTTTATTCATTAAAAAAAAATTAAAACTTACCTCATAGTTCGAAGGAATATAGTAGTATATTTTGTCATGCTTGAACACATAGAAAGTGGGTTCGTTATCTGTAAAAATATAATTTTTAGAAAATAAATATGAAAGGCATTTAGAATTATTTATAATTCTAATTCTTATTATCCACAAAACTAAAGAAATCTTAAATAATATTTCAGTTTTTTTTATAAACTAACAAGAATAGATATATAGGTACCTAAGGCTTAGCATTCTGTAGGTATTATTCTTTTCGCAGTTTATTTGAAATTTTTAGGATCAAAATCATAAAACAAAAACGAAAAGCGATATCAACTTGAAATTTTCAGAAAATTAAGCTCTATAAATGGATGAAATTTATGAATAAAAATAGGGGAGATATTAAAAGAGGTTGAAATTAAAAAATTATAAATCAAAAACCAAAAAGAATACGAACAAATTTTTTTTAGTAAAAATCAAAAAAAATAGTTATGAAAATAACAGCATAGGGCTCTGGAAATTCAATGCACTTATTGCCATTCTATTAAATAGAGTACCTAGTAGAAGTTAATTTTTGTAAATCTATAGAAAGGACATTAAACAGTAATAAGCATTATTTATCTAAGCAACTTATCTAAAAATGTAATAAAAAAGTGTTTCTATTACCTTATTTACCCACAATACTTTATTTAGATATGTATCAGTAAAAATTATTTTCAAAAAATTTAAGAAAAAAAAAGTTACTTTTCATATAAAGTTATGCATGGTCTAAAACCTAAAATTCAATCATCTGATATTTGAGTGTGTGGCAAATGGCTTACGGTTAAACGGTCTTAAAGAATAACAATTTTTCCTGAGTTTGACCCAAATTGGTGAAATTTTATTACCACACTAGTGTAATAATCATTTTATTATGAGACTAGTGGTGTAATGCATATTATTTTCCAAATAAATTAATATGTATAATAAATATATAGAACAAAATGTTAAAAATAAATTTCAATTAAATTATTACCTCAAAAATAAATTTAAATATTTAAAAAAAAACTTACTAGGTGGGATGACAGCTTGGGCCAAACTGGCGAAGACACCAATAATTGCAATAGCCACGATCATTTTGAAACTTTTTGTATATCTAATACCAACCATTCCTAAAGATTGTTATATATAGGGTTCTACTAATGACTATTTGATTTCTTTATTACAATTTGATTTGTCTAGATCGTTATGGTGTTAGGACAAATTACTGAAAACTATTTTATGATTACTTTACCTAGAAAAATATCACGAGATATTACAGATTTTGTATATTGTTCATAGGTTTAATAACAGTGGCGTAGCTAGGTGACCAAGGGATTTGGGGCAAAAATAAACATGGGTCTCCTTACATTAGATAAAATATATAGAGCATGTTTTTGAAGAAATTTAACTTACTTGTTTTAACTACGTTTAATCACTGTTTTTGACATAACAACAGCAAATTCTTGGTTATTTTAGGGACATAATAACAAAGAGTTTGGTCATTTACCCGGTCTCCCCTATATTTAAAAAGTGCGCGTGCTCGTGCATAAAAAACATATTTTCATATAAACTTTACCACTTTTTTCCCCCTTTATAGAGATGGAGTGTCAAAAAATCACTCCTTAGTGCACCCCTGTGGTACTCAAGAAACATTTTCTCCTCTGATTTAGATTATATACGTTGTCAAACATCGGTATATTATAATTGTGAATTTTAAATAAATAGCTACACAAATAATAAGATATAATAATAATAAATTCATTTATTTACAGCTTACACAGAATATGGAACAAAAAATATAATTGTAAAAGAAACACTTAATATAACACTGCAAAATAGAGCTGGCATACAGTAAAACTGATTCTAAGTGCCAGCCCTAGACAAAAAAAAATAATAAATACTAACAAGCGTTTACAATCAACCTTTGAACTAAAATATCAATATTGTGACGAAAGTCTAATTTATTTAAAGTTTATTTATTTAAAAACACACTATTTACAATTTATTTCAGACCTACTATTTAATTTATGTAATATTTAGACACTAACTAACAATTATTTTTGACAACACTGGTAGTATGGCAATAGGCCGTAACTCATTTATACTAAAAAAATTCTTTTTTTTTTGGCAATGGTAATATCACCAATCACCAATTTTTTACTCAAGGAACAACGCAGAACAGAGTCCTTTTTGTTCAAATACTTTTTATCAGGTTTTTCTCTCAACAATCAGAAGTTTAATTATTTAATAAATATTTTAAAAAAAATCATATTTTACATTATTAGTTTTATTATAAATAAATAAATACATAAATAACTACGAAACTAAAAATATTTATCACAAGCCGCTATAACTTTAGGACAAGCTTTTTTAGCATAGTACAAATAACTAGTGTAAACATTATCCAGAGATATTTTTTCATCTTTGCTCAATTTATTCCACATGTGTAAAGTTTTGCTATTCTCGGTGGATCTAATGACATGTTCAAAATCTTTTTCTTCGAAATACCTCCTCCATTGCGTCCAAGGTACTGGATAAAATACATCTCTGGCATACAGGGTGAATCCCTGACAATTTGTAGTAGTTGCTTTCTCTAGTGAATCTCTTTCACATATGGATTTCAGTAATCTTCTTATAACTCCAGTGCTGCTATTTGACCATGAACGACCATTGTATCCATTTTTTAAATCGTTTATACAGATTTCGGCCCATTGGTGACCATTACCATCTGGTGCGAAACTTAGAACCCCAGCAGCTGCAGTCCTATCGAATTCGCAACCAGCATAGTTCAGGGTTACCTTCTCTAAAGATTCTAAAACTACCACGTCCAGGTCTAAATAGATGCCACCGTATTTCCATAAAGTGAGGTATCTAAAAATTAAATTTAAAAGTCTATTGTCAATAAAAGTTATGGACATCATCTTCATGAGTATTTATTTATGGATGATTAAATTCGATACCCTGCTAGTAAATACGTTGTAAAATATTGTATTATATTAATTTCAATTCAAATTTTGAACATCTTCATAGGATATATTTCTATGGATGTCATCTTCAACGAAATCATGCACTGGGTCATGGAAACGTTTTCAAAAAAAACTGTAAGCACAATCTTCGTGATTATAAAATTATTGGTTATAAAATAGTAGCCCCAGGTGGTGAAAACTATTTTATCCATTTCAATAAACAATTTAGACAACATTTCTGTAGATGACATCTCAAATGAAATAAATCATGAAAACATTTTAAAGTATATTAAGTCAATATCTACAAAAAATATGATTGCCATCTTGACAGGTATAATTTTATGCCTAGCCAAATACAAACTCAAGGTGGGAAACATCGTAAAAACGTATTATATTTATGTGGACAACATCTTCAGCGAATTCATGCACTAGGTTATAGAAACAAGCTAAAACTTAGTAATAAGCTAATTTCAACAAACAAAGTAGACGCCAGCTTCGTGGGTATTATTTTTATCCTATCTCCAGGTGATATAAACGCTTTAAAGGGTACAGTTTGAGATGATATTGATGTTACCTTCATGTGTAATGCAATATGATGTATTTATGAATAGAAGAATTATTTTTCTGGACAACATCTTCAGCGAACGTGTGCACTAGGTGATAGAAACAAACTAAAACGTAGTAGGAAAGTATTTTCAACCAAAAAATGGACACCATCTTCATGGGTAATATTTTAATCCAAACTCCAGGTTATAAAAACTCTTTATAGGGTAAAGATTAAGATGATATTGATGTTATCTTCATGTGTAATGAAATATGAGATAAGTATGTATATTGTTGTTATTCCTGTGGATAACATCTTCAGCGAACTCGTGCATTAGGTCTTAGAAACAAATTAAAAACTAGTAGAAAAGTAAAATATCTAAAAAATGGATGTCCTTTTTAATGGGTAATAGAATATGAAATATAAAATATTTACATTGATGGTTTTTTAGGATGACATCTTCAATGGACTCTTGTTGCTCTATGTTATAGAATCGAGATAAAACGCAGTAATAAACTGTTTCAAAAAAAGAATGCGATTTTCAAGGGTAATGGAATATCTACATTAGTGCCATTTCTGTGGATAACATCTTCAGCAAACTCGTGAACTATGTCATACAAACAAACTAACACGTAATAATAAGCTAATTTCAACAAATAAAATGGACGCCATCTTCATGGGTAATATTTTAATCCAAGCTCCAGGTGATATAAATACTTTAAAGGGTACAGATTGATATTATCTTCATGCATAATGCAATATGAAGTAGATTTTGGTATTATTTATGTGGAAGACATCTTCAGCAAACTCGTGGCAGTAGGTCACAGCAACAAACTAAACCGCAATAGAAAACTAAATTTAACAAAAAATGGATGCCATTTTTATGCATAATGGAATATGAAATATGTACGCTGTTTTTTGAGGACGACATCTTCAGCGAACTCGTGCTCTAGGTTATAGAATCAAGCTAAAAAGCAGTAATAAACTATTTTCAACAAACAAAAATATTAGATTTTTATGGGTAATGAAATATGTACATTGTTGCTATTTCTGTGGATAACATCTTCAGCGAACTCGTGAACTAGGTCATAGAAACAAGCTAACACGTAGTATAAGCTAATTTCAAGAAACAAAATGGACGCCATCTTCATGGGTAATATTTTAATCCAAGCTCCAGGTGATATAAAAAAGCAGTAATAAACTATTTTCAATAAACAAAAATATGCGATTTTCATGGGTAATGGAATATGTATTGTTGCTATTTCTGTGGATAACATCTTCAGCGAACTCGTGAACTAGGTCATATAGACAAGCTAACACGTAGTGATAAGCTAATTTAAACAAACAAAATGGACGCCATCTTCATGGGTAATATTTTAATCCAAGCTCTAGGTGATATAAAAAAAGCAGTTATAAACTATTTTCAACAAACAAAAATATGCGATTTTCATGGGTAATGAAATAAGTAATTTGTTGCTATTTCTGTGGATAACATCTTCAGCGAACTCGTGAACTAGGTCATAGAAACAAGCTAGAATATAATAATAAGCTAATTTAAACAAATAAAATGGACGCCATCTTCATGGGTAATATTTTATTCCAAGCTCTAGGTGATATAAACGCTTTAAAGGGTACATATTGAGATGTTATTGATATTATTTTCATGTATAATGCAATATGAAGTAGATATTGGTATTATTTTTGTGGACGACATCTTCAGCAAACTCGTACAGTAGGTCACAATAACAAACTAAAACGCAGTAGAAAACTAAATTTAACCAAAAAATGGCTGCCATTTTCATGCATAATGGAATATGAAATATGTACGCTGTTTTTTTTTTTTTGAGGACGACATCTTCAGCCAACTCATGCTCTAGGTTATAAAATTCCGCTAAAAAGTAGCAATAAACTATTTTCTACAAACAAAATATGAGATTTTTCATGGGTAATGGAATATGTACATTGTTGCTATTTCTGTGGATAACATCTTCAGCGAACTCGTGAACTAGGTCATAGCATCAAGCTTAAACGTAGTAATAAGCTAATTTTAACAAACAAAATAGACGGTATCTTCATGGGTAATATTTTTATTCTAGCTCCAGGTGATACAAAAGCTTTAAAAGGTCAAGATCGTAATTATATTGAATATATTTACCTAATAATATCACTGGCATGCTCTATTTTGTGTGATGAATTATCAATTTTTCCAGTCGTATATAATTCCTCCACCGGAGTATCATTAGTATATTTTTCATAATCGAGATGCATTATTTGGACATTCTTGTAGCTCATCAGGGCGTTCAAAAATAAATCCGATTCATCACCTTCCATTTTAATCAAGCCAGGTGAGGAGTAGAGAAGGTACACGTCCAAATTTGGGTTCATTTTAGCAGCGCTTTCCACTGCGCATGCTTGGCGGGCTGTTATATGAATTTTCCCGTGATAAAACGACTTACAAGAGGTTTCGTGGAAAAATATCGATTTACCTTTTCTTGGTGCAATTTGTGATATGTCTGGTAGAGAATCTGCTGTTTTATCATGAAAGCACTCTATAGTGTCTGTGACTGTGACTGTAACCGGAGTCGTTTTAGGAGTGTGTTTAAGATCGCTTTGGTAACAGAAGAATTTGAAAAATAAAATCACCATTATCAAGCTGAACATGTAGACGAAGATGCAATGTATGGATATTAGTTTTTCGTTTTTCATGTTTGATAGCTGAAATTAAAATAATAACAATTTAATCAAATCTTGGAGTAATCAGCCTCCCATAAACATAGCCCACAAAACAAAGATAAAGAAGAAATGTCATAATATAACCTTAAAATTATTTTTATAAACCTTGTAATCATTTGCCAATAAAGTAAAAATAAAATGACTGCGTGTTATTGGGGATATTCTCTCCTTTTAGCGCTATTTACATGAGTGTTGGAGAGAGATAGCGATAGGTCATTACACAGCGTGTTTATATGAATCGTATTCTCGTAAATAATAAGTTGTAGTGGTTAAATTACGGACAACGTTTCATGTTTCTTTTCCAACTTGAAATTTTCATAACAAAGAACTGAGTATCTTTCATATTCGTCCTCGTTTGGTTTATGAGTGTTACTTGACCAAAATCTTCAAAGTTATTTATTTGAAAATAGAACTTTATGGCAAAAACGATCGATGCGTTTTCTAAAAAAGGATATTCCACGAGTTAAGTTTTGTTTGTTTTAATATTAATTTGTTAAAGAATTCATTTACAATTTCTATATAGGATATATCTTATTTTTCCTGATATCCTTTTCAGGCAGTTTTGCACTGATTACAATAAGTCACCAAGATAGCTTATTATCTAAGTTAGTACTTTTGGAGTTTTCACAGAATTACCTTATAAAAAATAGTCTAGTTAATGGGTAACAAACCTCTAGGAGGTGAAGATTATAACGCAAATATACTGCTTGGAAGTCCCGATCAACAACAATTAAAAGTTGAGGCAAACAATCTAAAACACCTATCTAAAGACGAGCCAACATATTGGCAATCAGACAATAATAAAATCCGGACTTAATTGATTTTAGTATCACCAAAAATCTGGGTCCTTAAAGATGTACAGTAGAATCATGTCTGGACCTATCCTCAGAACACCCTTCATTATTAATAACAATACATTCAAATTTAGAAAATAAATAAATCCCTTTATATGTACCTTTATAATAAACATACTGAATATTTATAGAAAAACTAGATAGTTTAATAATACCTACTCAATGTTTTTCAAATTTTAAAAGGAGGATAACAGAAAGGCCCTTTGTGAAAGAAGTTCTGTCGTGCACAAGAGAATTAACTTTCTAAGAAAATATTCTAAATTTAAAGAAGAAAGGGCGAATTTTATAAATTTAGACGAAACATGGATATTTTCTAGGGGTGGAACCAAGAGAATATGGCAAGATGATAACGTGAAGTCCATCAAACATACCGATGGAGAAGGGAAGCGACATATAATTTTACATGCAGGAGGGAAGTCGGGTTTTACAGAAGGTGCTGATTTAATATTTTCATCTAAATCAAAATCCAGTGACTATCACGATAATATGAACACAGAAATGTTTGTAAAATGGTTGCATGAAAAATTTCTCCCATGTTTAAGTGAACCCAGCGTAATTATTTTAGACAATGCACCTTACCATTCTGAAGTATTAAACAAAAGTCCAACGAATTCTTGGACTGTTGATAAAATTAAAGAATGGTTGACAAAGGAACATATACCATTTCCTCAATATATATTAAAACCAGAATTATTACGCTTGGCAAATAAACACGCAAAACCAAAAACCTTTGTTGTGGATCAGATTATTGAAAGTTACGGTCATCAAGTTTTACGTCTGCCACCGTATCATTGCCAGTTTAATCCCATCGAATATATATGGGGAATAGCATATTATGACAACCATATTGGGCCTAATGGTTATAGTGACGATGCAGTTCGGAAAACTTGGTGAAAAGCACTTTCAATTGCAACTCCAGAAGTGTGGCGGAACTGTATATCCAAGTGCGAGAAACTAATAGAAGATTGATTGACTCGTGAAAATAAAATAAACGAAATAAGTCCAATTATAATAACAATTAATGGTGATGACAGTGATGATGATGACGATTATGATAGTTTGGATGATAATGACTGATTTTCATTTTTGTTGGCAAGTTCAATTTTTTTATTTTTCATTTGTAATTCTCTACATGGAACAAATTTTTATGTTAGAAAATATTTTATTTGAGCTAAATAACCATCTTATTATACATAGACCATATTTTCTGTGTGAAGTGTAATATAAATTATTAGGTTTATAATAGCCACATTAGACTCCATTAATGAAGAAGTTTAATTCTGCTCTCAATTATACAAAAGATTTTCCATTATTATTTAATTAAAAAGTTGTACATTATTTTTTATTTCATTTAACCAGTTGATATTTCCCTAAAGAACAGGTCAAACTTTCGGGTACTTACCTGGAAATACTCATAAAATTTTTAATCCGAAACCCGCGTAAGTATAGCGAACAGACTGTAAAAGATCTACTGCTGCAGACCAAAAATAAATGCATACGAAGCTACCTGCTATCGTTGAGTCCAAATTAAATCTCAGACAGATATAACGGAGATATAACCATTCATTGAGAAAATTTAATATTCACGATGTAAAGATTAATTTGACAATCAATACGCTCTATTTGTAGGTCCGCGGCGAGGATAAGAAAGGTGAAGAGAGGATTTTACGCAGATACAACTTTATTTTATCAACGAATAAATGTGTGCGCTTATAATAAACAACGTAGATATCCATGCCGATGTAATCCCTGTTGCCAGTTTCAACTTAACATTGATAGGTTTTGGAATTTATTGAAATTTATTACATCTAATTTAGTGAAATTACATCTAATTTTGTTAAATTTGATATAAATAATAATTCAAAATTTTTTGGGTTCAGTTGCCATACAATAGGTTGAATTATTTTAGCTTTTTTAATATATTTAAATATGTTTGTAAACAAAACGAGAATAATGAAATAGCCATATGACAACAGCGGATATTATATCCCCCTGTGTCCCTTAGAATCTGTCTTATTAAGTACCGTACGATTTTTGTTATTAGTTACATATCCCGTTATTTCTGGTCTCAAATTATACTTTATGGAAAAGCAACTAATATAATTACGAAAACACAGCAATCAAATATTCACATTAGTCCTATTTGAAATAAAAATAATTGAGCCAAAAACGATAAAGAAAAGGCACACATATTTGCTGCGCATCTAAAAGAAAGTATTTCAACCCTAAAGAAGCTGCTGACTAAGAAATAAAAAACTATTACCTGCACAATTTCAAATGATGCCATACAAATAAATGAAGTCAAAAAGGTAATTTTGAAGAGCTTGTAAGAGCTATCGGATAAATTTCAACTGTTCATGTATATATTACCCTCACCTGTGATTAGGTTAAAACACTATCCAAACATCTAGAAAATTGCACGAATTATCATGACTCCAAAAGCTGGCAAAAAACAGAAAAAGTGACTTCCTATCGTCCCATCAGTTTACAAATAGTTCTATATAACGTTTTTGAAACGACATATGTGGTTATACTACAGCTCATAACAGACATTGTCTTCAATCACCAGTTTGAAATTCGGAACAAATATGGGACCATAAAACAAGTACAACGTGTGGTAAAACAAATACAAAAAGATTTTTACAAAGTCTGGCATACAGGAAAAAATCATTTCCCTATCTATACTTACAACTTTTTAAATCCTATTTAATCAATAGACACGTTTTCGTTAAAGAGAACAACCAGTTTTCCAATAGATATCTTATGAACTTTTGAGTTCCTCAAGATAGGATCCTTGGCCTGATCTTATATCTTATTTGCACAAGAGACTTAATAACGACAATCACAATAACAACAGCCACATTTGCAGATGATACTGTCATTCTTTCGTTTCATGAAAATCTAAATATTACGTCGGAACGTCGATAAACAAATCTAAAATGAAATAGATTAGATTAGATTAAGTTTGAAAGGGGTAGAACATTATTTGCCCTTATCTGGAACACTGTTGCATATTTTCCTAAATCAAAATTATTCCAGGATAATACAAGATTAATATATAAAGCTATCCTGAAACCATTATTTATTTATTTATTTAATTTATTTATTATTACATTACTCAACAGGTCAAGACCCAATTACAGAGTAAGAGTACAAGAATATATAAATACAATTAATTTAGAAATAATATACTAATTGATTGAACAACAGGTAAGAAAAAAAAGCTGAGAATTATTTTTCTAGCATTTCATAAATATATGCAAAACTGAAGAGTTCAGAGAACATTATTATAGAAATAACACCTTATTATGAATTGAACTATAAAACAAAGCAAGCTGGCAACTTACTGATTCATAATTATTACACATGGTGTATATAGGGGATTTTAAGAGAACATTTATTCTGGGTGTATTCAAGTAAAATGTACGGGTGTTTCCGGAAGCTATTCCAGAACCTGCAAAATTAAGACTATGAATCAAATATGAAAAATCAACTTTAAAATGAACTGTCTTTAATAGCAATACTACAGCATAATATTTGTGTCTTGTATCAAGACTCCAAAACTTATGTCTAAGTGGCAGATCACGATGAGGTGCATGTATAGGGGGATAAACTCCATCTTGTTTAAAACTTAAAAGTTTTAATAATCTCCATTGGACTGTTTCAATTCTATCAATATGTAACTGATAGAATGGGCTCCACACAACTGAGGTATATTCAAGTTTAGATCTGACAAAATAAATAATACAATAACTTTAGTGTCTTCAGTTCCTTAAAATCACGATAAATCCACACATTTTGTACGATGCTAATACTATTGATTCTATATGGTTGTTTATTGATAAAGTGTGATCAAATGTAATTCCAAGATCTGTGATGGTAACCGGTCTTTGAAGAATCGTGTTATTAACGTTATAGTCAAAAGTTAAAGGGAATTGATTCAAGGTATAAGACATTACAAAACATTTAGAGGAGTTAAGAGGAAGGTTGTTATTGAGACAGCTCTCAACACGTCGCAGATTATCTGAAACCCTTTCATAGTCCTCAACCGTTTTGACACAACAGAACAACTTTAAATCATCGGCGTACAGAAGAAAGTTAATATCTCTATCTAAAATATTGCTTATATC